GTCTTAATAGACAATAAAAATAATTGTACATCAGCTACACTCATGGCAAAAACAAACCGAGTAACAAATTATATATATATATAATGTAGTTATAGTTATATATATATATATATGTGAACCGTGTAAAAGCGCATTGATAGAAAAATAATAATATTTGCGGTAAGCTAAGTAATATATATCCACCGTTCTAAATTAATTTTATACGTTATATGACCTAACCCATAACACCGTATTAAGTTTATAAGTCTATTTAAATTTGTAAATAATTAGGTTCGACGTCACATACTTATTGTATACAGTTATATCTATCCACATAAAATGCAAACGTCGGTTAGAGTTAGGATAAGCTGAATTCATTTTTTTACGAAATTACTCAACACAATTTGACGGCGAACCATATTGCATTATTTTTATTTTGTTTTGAATTTCTCAAAATAATTCATGTACGTCATACATTATCCGTTCAAATATTTCGCATGTTATTGCTGTTTTACAATGATACAAATATAAATGCAAACGTTCGGCAAAGGCAATAATATATTAAACATATATTAAACTTGTAGCACAAGAAAACTCGAAACGTTTTAAAAAACTATTTTCTAGAATATTTCTAGAAACTACGAAAATTGGTAAACGCTTATTCAAAATAAATTGCTGTATGCTTTGTATGTTGCATATTATTTTTATACATGTAAGTAATAGTCATAAAGTTAACGTTTACATAGTAAAAACTTCTATAATATTCTAAAAATATATTATATTATAGTAAAAACACACACTTTTAATGCATACAATTTTTGTACATAAAGGAGGGGCTCCAGCCCCCATAGCCCCTTCGTATCTACCCCTAATTAATATATATATATATATATAATAGAAAATTTCTTCCAACTAAAATGACAAACACCGTGGGATAAGACTGAACTAAAAAATTCTATAAAATGTATTTTTTGATGTTCATATCTTATGATTGAAGGCTAATATTGATATAATATTGGAAATATTTATCTATAGATTTGGATAGTGTATTTTAGTAAATAATTTGTCTATATCAATGAAAATATTAAATAAATGAACCAGCGGTTAATGTTTAGTGAACAATTGACTAGATCATTACTATTTCTTACATGCTTTTTTTTAGCTCGCTAACACGCAACATTAATTTAACCCACTTTCTGATGTCGTATAAGGGTTAAAACTTGGCACAGACACTCATCTTAGATGACAATACAATATCCTGTAATCATATTGGGACTCGGACATCCAGGTCGCCCTACACAGGGTCAAATATATATATATATATTCGTATGGCGTATTTGACCGAGAGGGCTTTAGCCAACTTATGCCAGTTAGGTCGCCTGAGGACGCATGGCATTTCTGCCATGCTTATCGGGGGTTGATGGTGTTGGTCGCCGCTAAAAATCCAGGTGGTCACCCATCCGGGTTCAAGCAGCAACGGCCACAGCTTAACCTCAAGTGCCATGCGGCAGCTGAGGTGTCCACTGCGCCACACCGCCCCGATACAGGGTCAAATGTGAGGGTCATTTCACTAAAATTTCATTTTTTTCCAAATCTACCAAAATTAATTTAGTAATCTATTCAGCAATTATTAAATACCTTTAATAGGACTAAAAAGTAAAAAAAAATAAAAACTTTTTTAAAAACATGCTTTTCTAAAAAAAAAAAAAATAGTAAAAAGTGAACTAAAAAGTAAAAAATAATTTTATTACAAGAACAATTTACCAATCAATTGTAGCATATTTTATTTAAAATGTCAATTACTTTGAAAACAACCGAAAATTAACTACAATTTTAAATAATGTTAAACATCTTTAATTTTTGACTAAAAAGAAAAGCTAGGGCCCACGCTTTTCTTTTTAGTCAACAAAGTCCCTAATAAATTTTTCAGATAATGTTTTATATTGTAAGTTCTTTTGTAATTTAAATTTAACTTAATATTTGTGTGTGGCACATACATTTTAGAATACTTAACTCAATGAATTTGGACGTTTCGAGTTTTCTTGTGCTACAAGTTTAATATATATTTAATATATTATTGCCTTTGCCGAACGTTTGCATATATTTTTATCATTGTAAAACATCAATAACATGTGAAATATTTGAACGGATAATGTATGACGTACATGAATTATTTTGAGAAATTGAGAAGTTTTTTTAATTTACGAGTATGACATAATTATAACAATAAACTATGGGATTTATTATTAATATCATAATAATATTAGGTATGTTGATATTTTATTTAGTCGGAAAGACATTTTCTTGTATGTTGTGCGTTGGAAATCAATAAATACTATTGTAAAGTGCAAACGGACCCGAAGAGCTCCAAATAAAATGTAAACATCTATCCAAACGGCTGTACTTGACACATTACCCGTGTGGAAATCCAACAGAACATTAGCGTAATAACGTCAAAAATATTTCTAAAAATCATCAACATTCTTGTTGCTTGCACGGTTGTGATGATGAGCGTAATTAAATGCACATAACGCGCGTGCCCGTCCAATACTGGTAATAAACAGTATACATACCTGAACAGTTAACCTTAACAGATTCTAAAGGAGTTACATTATAATTGTGGTTAAACAAATAGTTTACACTAGACGTACAATTCACATGAAATCCATAAGATATTTATATATAAAAAATAAAGATAAAGATATAGTTTTTCATTGTGCCTAATCGCAATAAAAGTTTATCGATCATTGACTTCAATATACTATTACAAAAACATTGTCATTATCATATTATGATATTCCTCAACGCTAACATAAATATGGTTATGTAATACACGTTATATATTAGCCGTCCTATTTTGTTAGAAGCATACAATCCTTAAGCTTTTTTTATAACTCGTTTAGAGCCTTCGTTATACTTCCATTTTTTCACGCCGTCTCTTCCTATCTCCATTTTCAACATTAGTTCTTCCAAAAAGCGGCTAAATTTATAATTTTTAATTTTGCTCAGTTTCATTAAAAAATATGGAAAATTTAACGTTTTACACGACCTTTGTAATATTTTCATTGCGTTAAACTAATACACGTTTAGTTTAGTTAAATCCATATTGTGTTGGAATGTTTACCATATATGTTGAAACTATTTATATTATGTGTCATCACTTGATTGAATAAATTAATACGTTTTTAGTTATTAAGTTATTATCCACCTAATTTTATAATATGTTATTGTTATTATTATTATAATTACAAAAAAAAAAATGAGATAAATTATAGCTAATAACTTTCCTCCCGAAAAAATGATATTAAAAATAATTATAATTTATTAAAAAATTCAAATGTATACAGTTTTTAATTTGCACATATCATTATATTGATAAATGACGTTTACTGTTTAGTGTTTTTCTTCACATGGCTATTTGGGGTCGGCGTAATGGCATTTAGTAACTTATTGGTTAACAGGTGTCCTATTGTGACACTGTAAAATTTAAATTATTTTTGTCCTAGTTTAACGGGACCAAGCACAGCCCACTATACATTATTTTAAAGTTTTCTTTGATAAATCATAGAATTTTACAACATACAATTAAGCAACACTAAGGAAATAATTAACTCCTTATTAAACATTTCTTCTTACGAAGCTAGAACAACGTACTTACTATTTGCTTTTAAAAATTTACTGAAATCTAAACGCTTAGTAGCGTATACAAATATTTAGGGATGGGATTATTGAAAATTATCCAGCTCAAGGGTAGTATTAGCTATTATGGAGTAATGACTAAGAGTAACGCTAGCTGAGAGGTAATTTATGGTTTTAAGGTTTGCTCTCGAGGGTATTTAACTTAAATATAATGTTTATTTTAGTAGTAATAAAATTATAAACTAAACTGTATAGAATGGTCATTTGGAAAATTATGAAATTTAATTTGAAAGAATGATCATTATTTTAATTTTAATAGATTTTCTTAAAAGAAAAACAATTTAATTTTAAATTAAATTATATTAGTAGATTTAAAAGTTCCGGTACCGAAAATTGCAAAGTCGCAAACTATGAATGATTTTTAGTTTCGATTATGTTAACTTATTTTAAGCTTTTTTTTTTTAATACCTATGGTATAATTAATAATAACGTACATTTGTTTACATGAAAAGTGATGACAACTTGAGTAATCGGATTTTGACACATTTTTTATTTTTCGAAAGATTAGGCTCCTACAGGTAGTAAAGGACTTCAATTTTTGATAATAATACCAAAATAAACATAATAAAAATTAAAAAATGGCCAAACTCTTATTTAATTTGAATTTAAAATATCGAAGTAATCGGACTGCAGAACATCTTCATTTAAACAAACAAAGATTAACAAATTCTGGTATGGCACCGGGCGTCTTAAAAGTAGGCAGTAGCATAATAATAACGCTTTAACATCCCAATTTTAAACTATTATCTTCCCGCCCCATTTCTCAAGTTTGCTTTAATTTTTTTTTCCAAACTAGTGAGGTAGGTAAAATAAGTTTGACACGGGTTCGGTTTTAAAATAACTCGTGTAAACAACAAGGAAAACAAATAATTTTTCAACAAGTTGTTTCATTATTTGTCGGTATCTTTGTAATTCAATCGCCAATCATTGGTGATTTTTGAAACATTTTTTTCCCATTAATCCGAAATTCAAAGGTCATTTCGCAAATGGGCCCTTCCCGCGGCGAAAGACTCGTTCGATTGGTTGGGTCCAAACCATAACGGCGGTGGATAGCCACGGACAGTCATTGAATTCGTACGTTTTAATCAATGGTGTGTAGTGATAAATAATAAATTAAGCCTCGTGCTCGACCGGCGAGTGCGGCGGCACACGCATAGATGGCGCCGGGATCGCGCCGAGGAAGAAAACAACTCTTCTGCTTTCCGCAGCACCCGCCGGCCGGTAGTGGAACGGTAGGGGGCGGGTGCCGACGGCAGGGGGTGATGGGGGGGGGAGACACGCTCACAACCGGCGACGCCGCTTCGTACACGCCTCGGCACCAGCAACAGGTCGTCGTTCTCTGGCGCGCGCGTCCGTCCGTTCTCTCTCGCACCCGTCGCCATCAGACCCGACCGGCAAACGCTTCAGTCCCCACGTTACGTCCGTTCGCGCACCACCCGGCAGCCGCTGTCAACGACAATATTGGATCGTTTTGCAAGTTCCTTATAGTACACGCGTCAATGTACCAGCCAGCCATGTGAATGAGGATTTGACGGTATTATTTGGAGATTTTTTTTTTAACATAGTGCGCGCCGCGTTTGCCGGCAAAACGAACGTTCTGTACGCAACTTATCCGTACACATAAGTAGTGGCGATAGTACATTTTTGTTTGTTTTTTTTTTTATAATCGTTGAAATCGCGAGTTTCGTACATTTATTTATAATACAGTTACTCGTTCGGCTTGTCGTTTCGAAGTAGTTTTTTTTTTAACCCGAAGGAATTGCGTTTTGGACCGTCCGAAAATGTCCATGCACGATATGGACAGCCTGGGGATATACATGGAGTTCCCGTCCAAGCTCGACCCGTTCATCAACGACGACATGAAATACTTGTGGGATTCCGATTTGGATCAGGTACGGTTAACTACTATAATATTATATTGTACTGGGTGTAGATATAGCGTACCTAACAAAACGCATATAACGGTATACGAGCATAAGTTTAATGTACGTTTACGCCCTGCTGTCCATACGCGTCGGTCGTCATCGGGTTTTTCCGAATTTTCCGACACGGCGCGGTCGCGACACATCAGAGAACCCGTCACAAAACAATAATAACAACGGTAACAATGACAGTCATCCGGGCGATTCGCAAATCGCATTCCACACACACATACATTGTCACGCTTGAATTGACTATTAGGTCCGGTGGGAAGAGAGGAAATTCTGCGAAAAGCGTACCCTCTTTGGCTTTACTATGGTGGGGACTTCGGGCGGCCAGGAGCCGGTCATCAGGTCAAACGGCTTTCCGGTTTCCCACGAAACGGATGGTTTGTTTTCTGCCAACTCTATTTTTCCAGTTGTTTGCCTCGCATTTTATTACGGCTATGCGAATGCACCGTTTCTCTCTTTCATCCTTCTCCCAAGGTCCGACGTGGAACCATTCATCAAATCTCTGGCGATAATCCATACGGAAATGATGATTATCTTACTTTTCAATGCTGGCCAACACGATGGACAGTGTAGGTCTGTTTACTATTATTGGCCATACCGTGGGAACGATACACCGGCCTGGGAATGCTAACGTTTTTAACGTCCGGCATTTGGACGATAGCAATTTAATATAATGACAAATGGCGTACTAAATGATTAAGATAAGTACCTTCGCGTTTTCGGCGACGGTGGTCGGCTGTGGCCTTGTGACCTTGTGCATTTTTTTTTTTTGCCAATCAAGATTACCACCGCCGGCGTCCGGTATATAACGGTACAATTAAAGTATTTTAACAAATTCTCTGCCGTCCCCCGCCGCCGACAACCTCGGTGGAGACTGTACGGTTTCAGCAGTGCACTTGTACCGTGCAGCGTGTACTTTCTTTGCCTGCATTACAGTAAAGCGATACGAAAAAAAAAAATGATTAGAAAATCCCGCACAATCGTCCGTTTCGACGACCTTTGAAACGACCAACGCGTGATAGCGCGCTTAACACAACAGCCGATGTTATTATTATTTGTTATTAATCGAGCGTGCGTTTTTTATTGATTTATTTTTTCGGCCAATTGGCAAATAAATAAATTAAAATTAAATTACCGATCGAGTGGATTTTTGCAGCAATAATAATTAATAATCAACCAATCCGTACGTCCGTCGACCGTGTGCACGCTAATCACACACAAACGCATATTATAATAACGTGCATTGCGCTAATTAACTCTCTTATTTTTTTTTTTTATCAAATCGACACGGATACGGGCATTCCCGAGGCGGCTAATACGATATCTTATTTCGGTCAGACCACGCGTGGGGCCATCGCCACCCGCCGCCCATTATGGACGCCCGCGATTATGGATAAACCGTTTTTATTACACAATAATGATAATGTTGTATGGGTAATTGATAAAAAGAATTCAAACACAAGCCAATGGGGGCTGAGCCCTTATCGTTTTCACGCCGTTTGCGTCCCGATGAGGGCTACCGCGTTAGTCGTGCCTCCGCCGATATACGTCATGAACCACTTTCTATCCGGGTACGTTTTTTTTAATTTTTTTTTATTGCACAATAATAATTATTTTACGATACGGTATTTTCGAAACGGTCATATTCATCAATTACAAGATTATAAATTATTTATTATGTAGAATCGTCTACCCTACTACGGGCTTGCGAGGGGCCGTGACGGTCTAGATAAATCAGAATGGACACTGATAACAAATAACACGGGCAACATATGGCGCCGTCAAAATCTGTCGGCCATCCTGTTGGAGGAAAAATCACTGTATTATCATGTATGTATATATATATATATATATATATATGTAAAAAAATTAAGGTTTGTATATACATATGTATAAAAACAGTGATAATACAATATTATTCCTCTAAAACCGTGGCGGTTGATTCCGTGATAACACAGTGTCCGGGGCCTTTGAAGGTCTTAGCCGATATTTTCGAGGGTCTCCGGCGATTGAAAAACAATGAATATATCATTTGAAGAATTTTGCGATAACGATATTATATTATTATTACACGTACATACCTACATATTGTAGCACATAATGTCGACGGCGACGACTAGCGGTGTGATGACGAAAGACTCGGCCGGGCCCTCGAAATCGGGTCGAATAATCGATTTGACATAAAGTGGAATATTTCTCAGAAATTTTTTCCTCCTACTACGCCCCTCCGCTCCGTCCTCCTGCCGTTCCTAGTCGATATTATCTCTACGAGCAAAAACACATACACATGTCATACACACACACACACACACACACACACACACACTTATATACACACACCGACGCGATTAATGGTTTCGACGTATTACTCATTCCGCAGAAACAAGCGTATATTTTCCAAACAACAAAACCAGTAAAACCGCTGAAATGTTTTGTAGACTTACAAGCCATACCATAATGTTGTTTTTATATTGTATATTTTTTTCAGTAATCCAGAAATCGAATGCATAACATTATCATGTCAACAATAGACGCCTCCGCAGCCGCTATATAATTCGGGTCATACAATATGGTTTTATTTTTTATTTTTATTACGAATGCGCATTGGAAAAATCTCGCGTAGTTTTCAATTTTGCATATATTTTTCAAACCCTTCCCCTCCCCCGCCGTCCGGTCGTCGTTCGGTAATCGCACTTTCCCTTTTTATTTTTTTCGGTCTTCTAGTAGGTTCACATTTTGCCAACGACGATGACTAGCCGAAATTATCAAATTACCTCCGATTTCCGGTAAGCGGATTCCCGGCACGGTAATTCTTCGCAAGAACAATAACAATTATTATTGTTGTTGTAAATGATGATTTTGCGCGTTTACCGTTTTGTTTTGATAACGAGGCCGGACATTAAGACGTTTGCCGTGCGCAGCAATAACGTTATTATTATTCGCATCAAATTCACTTTCTGAATAATAAAAATAAAAAAAAACCCATCAAACAAACAATTCGGTCGAGGCGACCTAATCTATTAAAAAAAAAAAAAATACATGCACCGCCTTTTTTCGTTTCGAATTTCGCGTTTGGTGCGAGTTAATTAGTGTAAAATTTAATGAAAATAAAATCAATAAACTGTAAAATAAAAATTAATCCAGTCTGTGATTAATACCTTTTTATTTACACACTTGAAAGTTTTAAAACAGTTTTTTTGCAATAGGGACATTATATTGTTTAACGGTATAGAGCTGTTACTCGTCGTCACTATAAAGTTTGAAAATATGAAATATCTTTGATCCTATTAAACTTGAAGGGGACTCGTTGAATTTTGAGGGTCGCGCAGACTTTCAGTTGTCATTCACTGATATTGTGTAGCGTTTACATTGTACACATTATTGTTATTATTATTATTATTATTATTATTATCATCGTTGTACATGTGTTTAACCGTACAACGATAAAATATCCATATTTTCCCGTTTTTATTATTATCTCGGTATGCGGAGCCCTCGTCCGAGATAAGCGACCGGCTCGAACACTGTCTCGATTAAAATTTCATTGATGATAACCGTTCATTCAAACAATGTATGTGTACCATGTGTTTACCCGTAACCGTGATTTAATATTTTCGTTGAATCGTGATTGTTCTTAATTATTTATTATTATTTTTGTTTTGTACAGAAATCATTCGAATCGGTGGCAGCAATCTTTACTCTGTATTCAAATGCCTACAGCCCTATTGATGTACACAGTACAAAAAACAAAATACAAATATTAAATTTTACATATTATTGTAAATTATAATGGCAGATCGTTTTCTCGCGAATTTTGTTAGTTTTTAACGCGTATCGTGTGCGCTTGCCAATAGATCGAGATGCGTTTTAATTATAACATTGTGAAAATTTATATATTACATAGTATATAGTTCATAACACGCTTGTTCGCTTTGAAAACGCGAAAGACGCACAATATAATATACGGTGGTTATTATTTCAACCTTTGTATCGCGAGCTTCTGGTTTTTATAGTTTGCACTGGATATTACACTGTGGAAACTGCTTGATTTCGATAAATAAATTAATCATTTTGTTCACCGAAAAATAACAATATAATATTGTGGAGATTTAGAAGAAAAAAATACACACACAATACCTATTGAAAAACAATTACATTACAACATTGAAAAACACACAATATCTGTGTGTAACGTACGGGCCAAGCTGGTTTTGTCAACGAATTGTTTTGCCGAGGATTAACAAATAAAAAATTGTCGTTTGTCCGACTCATACTTAGTTTTTTCTTTAGTTTTTTTTTTTTTTACCCCAAAACCGGTTACGTGCGTTATACAATATTATGTATATAATTTACGAAACAAATCTCTCCGATAATTCGGATCCGACGGGATTTTCTTAAAGAAAAAGTAAAATACGTTATTCCAGTTTCGGTGATTATTTTTCAAATGGTTATTATTATTTTTTTTATTTATCCTTTCGTTGTTATCTTTAGTCGCATTTCCATCTAAATTGTATAGGGGCTTAAACGGGTTGTCTATTCGATTAAATAAATAATAATATACTAAAATAAATCAGAATCTCGAACAGCCGTTAGTATAAAACACTATACACGACTCGAGACAAATACATTCTAGTCTGTCGCCTGGACGCGCGCGCATGTGTGTGTGTGTGGTGTATAAATCGTCACACGCACAATATATGTATTAAAAGGAAATGTAACATAGACAGAAACAATTATTGTAATTAGCCGCGGCGACCTTTTTCTTTAATTAGGCCTATCCCACGTGCCGGGCGAAGGAAGGCGAGCGAGCGCATGCACGTGGTAGGCGATTCTCACGACGATTAAAAAAATGCACACACACACACACACACACAAATCGCAAGTCCCGTATAGTTTTGTGTTTTCGTATCATCAATAAAATGAAAAAAAAAAAAAAACATAATATCGATTATCGCTGTCCG